TCTAACCCGGACCACGCGAGCCCGCGACTAGCTCGCGAGCGTCTGGAGGAGCTGCCTTTGTATTCTTATTGGCCGCGGTTGCCGGCGAGCCAGCCTTTTATCGGGAGAGGTCAATCCACCGGGAACGTATCTAATCTTTCCAGGGTATCTGGACAATTTGTTTCAAGCCTCGCTTTCCTGGCCCTGCTTTCACGGATCCGTGATCCGATCCGTGTTTCTTCTCTCCTCGCCGGTTAAAAACCGACGGATTTCGCTCCTTCCTTCTCGTTTCGATCGCGAGCGTTAAAAAGAAAGGAAAGAAAAGAAAAGAAGAAAAAAAATCGATCGAAGGAGGGTGTACCGTTTTCAGGATCTTTGGATCGTTGTCGAGATGTTTACGATACCTCGGGTTTCGCGTGAAATAACCAGTGAAATCTTTGAAAGGTAAATGTTCGAGAAATCAGGCTCGAACGAATGTTTGATAAACCGATTAACACGTTAGGATTCTTTCTAACGTTTGATCCCGCTTTTCGTATTCGGGTAAGAGGATTGTGTGACTTCTTGCTCGCACGAATTACGAAGCAGTTGATAATTCAATTCGATCACCCTGATGAAAGTGAAAGAGCTTCTAATTAATGCTCGTAATAAATAAATGACGTTGTCGCTCTCTCGTTGTGAAGATGATTCAGATTTCGCAAAATGACGCGAATCCCTCCCCTCCCTTCCTTGTACCCGTAATACTAATTACGATGTCACCGATCTTTTGCTAAATTCTGCGAAAGAGAAAGCTGCACCGACTGCACACGTTGGACCAGTTTTAGAGTGCACGTTGCCTGGAAACTTTCAAATTAATTTACGTCCGATTCGTCGTCCGCGTGATTCATAATACCACTACGCTACTTTCCACGCTTACGCCGAGATATATGATATTTAATCGCGGATAGATTAATGGAGGTACACATCTCGCGTTTAATACCCTCGAAATTGACTCGCAGATTAATTGATTCATAGATCATCCGTTTTCTGCCTAGTATCCGAGTGATTATTTAGTTTATTTAGGATAATAAAACATTAGGAAGAAGGGAGCTCTCTCTCTCTCTCTCTCTCTCTCTCTCTCTCTCTCTCTGTTCTAACCGAC